CAAAATGACGTAAACAAATAACCAAATCCGACACAGATTCTCTGGCTGCTTTTCAGTGCACATACAACAAATTTCTACCGTTTTTTGATATACACGTATATTATTTTTGCCCTAATCCAGAAACCAAACAATAAACGTCGAAACACATACACTCGATAGAGAGATAGCGAGTAAAATAAAAGAGCACGCAAAATATAGCAATATCTAATTTCGATTCGACCGTATTCGGAAGTACGGCAATCGATTTTTTTTATACGCATTTAGAATAGCCGAAACACTTGCTGGTTGTCAATACTGGGTGATTGCTTGTCGTTTTGTTACCCGCACTCGTTAACAAATTCACGCTAACTAATCACAATATCGTATTTTGTGGCCATAGCACGCCGTGTTTGCAAGCTGCCTGAGCTACTTCACCCGTTCGACACAGTCAAAACACACCACATCCAAATAGAATAACATTTAAAAATTCAGAATGAAAGAAGAAGAAGAAGAAGAAGCAGTATTAACGCATATAAACCTGTACGCCAACCGATTTAACCAAACACAAACAAGCAAACACACACACACACATACACTCGCCACGCTCATGCCGAACAATTACTAAAACAAAAACAAGCACCAACACCACACAACCACGAGCCACGGGCCCTGCGATGTCAGTGTGAAAGAATATTGTTCAATGCTTTCATACATTTTAAATGGTTACACTGTTTCACTATGAATTGCTTAGGTATAAACACGTCAATGTTGAACGACTGAACGTGCCATAAAAAAAAGTTGAAAGACGCGTTATTATTGTATACATAGTACACAGTACACACACACACACATCACACAGTGCGGCAAATAAATGAAAACAACACAGAAAATTGATAATGTGTACGTGCGTTTTATTCATTCAGGTACGATACATTATTATAACTTCATGTATGGACACAATGCGACTGTGTTTGAGAAGAGAGAAAAAAGGTAAACACAAAAAATTGCGTCTCTTTCCCGCCAACTGTGGGTGAATTCAATTCAACCATAAACTATCACGATCATAGAGCAACCGACTCGAACACTTATGCGTTTTTATGCCGTTGAAGAGTAAGTCCGGCCAACCAACCGACAGACCGAGCCAGTCATTGTACTCAATAGACTTGGACATGGCCAACGTATGAAGTCAACGACGAAATAAAAATAAATTGTTCTCATGGCTTTATAATAAGTAACCGGGCAAGTTTGTTGTTGTTTTTATTCAACAAATGTCATTTGTGTTTGTTTTGCATGTAACCATGGTGCGTATATTATTCGAATAGAAAATGAGTATTCCATTTCATTGAATACATTCTGTTCTGTCACGTTCATTTTCTTTTTTTGCGTTTGTTGACGGCTGTTTCGTTCCCTTTTTTTTCCCTATCAACCTCTCTCTTTCATTCTTCTTGCCGTTTCTTTCTCTGGAGTTGCTTTGGTGTGATTAAAGCATAGTTTTTTTTTATTTCACCAAGTGTAAATCGTTTGGATCGGTCGTGTGAGCGTGTGTATGAGCTCTTTCACAGTGCATATTGGCTCGAATGCATTTGGATGTGAATACAGCAGCATGAGCATGTATGTGACTTTGTGTAGGCTGTGGTATCGAGTTGATGTCGTCGTCGTCGTCGTCGTCAAATTAATGTTTACTAAATGCTTGTGTTATGGTTATTGGTGCTGCAAAGCCAGCAGAACATTTTCACCTGAACCACGTAGATACATACACCGGATGAACACAAAAATGCTGAAGTGAAATCTATTCATGGGGTTTCGGTTCGTGTTTTTGGCTAAATGAATGCATTTACTGAGGCTGCATTTTAATGCAGACGATCAATAAACAAAGGCGACACCACATGCAACACGATGCAAAGGCTCTTTGTATGCACACGGTAAAATGTGTCTATCATGTCATAGTTGGAATTCCGGATTCTAGTGGGATGATCGTTTCAAGCTTCTCTTGCCCATCATCATCATCATCATCATCATCATCATCATCATCGCCTTCTTCTTCTTTGCCTTTTTCAAGTACAAAGCGAATACAAGAAATGCCAACACAGCCGCACGCACTTTGAATAAATTAATTTGTGATGTTGTCGACCACGTCCCCATTTAATACCTTGCTTCAATCGATTATTTTCAGCTTAAAGTCAATACTCTTCTCATTTTTTTTTATTTTCGTTTTCGATGGAATTCAAATTCTATTTGCAAATGTGTGCAGTGCCTGCGCAAAGGCGAAAAAAGTAGTTGCCTTTTCACAGTCCACAACATTTTTGTTAACTCGATTCGTTTCAGTTCTTTGTTGCTTTGATTATTTTTTTTCCGTTGAAATGTAATGAGAAACGTGTGGCACGTAGTTACAACTAAAATGGTTTTTGCGTAACGACAAAACCCATTTTTCGGAAAAACACCGTAAACAATTGAAAATGCGTTTTTAAGCACTCTGACGAATGAATTGAAACTCTATCTAATAAATCAGGGTAAGCAAACATTTCTCGGAGCATAATGATAAAATGGAATTTTGATAAGGTGCAATCGCTGTTTCTATTGCTGTTGCTGACGACAAATGAAACATATGTTATGCAAGAGCTCAATTGCAAAATTCTTCGAAATAAACCATTCGACGAATGACGTTGCCATAGAAATTTGAACTATTTGCCCGCATTTCTTCTTCGCTGAACGTTTTTTTTTTTCTTCGATGACCGAATAATGAATTCATCCATTGAATAATGTCGAAATACGTGATCGAATGTGCTATTTGCATTTTTTGTTCTATGAGCAAACCTGCTAATAAATTGCTTCGAAGTGCATTTTCCAACATGCAGCAAACATTTGACATATCTTTTTTCCACCTATGCGCATTGCATTGCATACAACCACAGCACAATATTGCATCCAGAGCGCAGTGTGCGTCGATGTACTCTCTGTTTTATACGTACATATTGATTTCAATGGAATTTCTTTAATTGATTTCTGCACGAGCTCATAAAGCGGAAGGTGAAAACAGCAACAGTGAAACTGGTAAACGACTATGTCCGTCTAGTGTGTTAACTGCAGTTGCTAAATACACAAAAATATTCCATTAACAGGCTATTTAATGATAATTGACACACTTTGTGGTAATCCACACTGGGAAATGCGAATGGAAGGCGCGCATTTATTGCAAAAGGAAAAAAGTGCAACAATCGGATTATTTTATTGATGCAATTTCAGCGATTAAATTCAATATAATGCGATACATTTTGAGCTCATTGATTGCATAATGCTCCCGACATCATACGTCGTCAATGCCATTTGATCTGCCATTGCTACGTTTTCATCGTGTAATCAATCAATAAATTCAAATAGAAGTTTTACACCCAGCATTCTTTTCTTGCGCTTTGGCCTGGGATGGATGCGCGCTGTATTGTTTTGCTATGATGGTGTGAAGAGCCCATACATTTGATTTCAAATTGATTGACGTTTTGTCGCAATTTCTGGGAAATTCGATTCACATTATGCACATTTGCATATATCAGTTTTCCATTATTATGGATGCCTTTTTCCACATTTTTTGTTGTTTTAGCACTGTCGGAAATCGACCGTACGATGATTGATGACGGGGGCGGCGAACAAAAAAACACACAATGAAGTTGAATTTATGTTGGAAGCGAAATGGGAAAAATCAACATTTCTGTAACAGCTGCCGAGTCAATTTAAATGCAGTTGACATTTTATAAAATCGAAAAAGTTTTGCATGCAAGGAAATCACACTGGCATCCAGCCGACGCAAGAGCGAACGGAATGCAAAAACTATGAAAAATATTTCTATTTCAAAAATTGCCATTTGTTTTATTTAAATGTGGAATTTTTAGTTTCGTCTCGAGTTTGGCACATCGGAAGTCGAGAATTTTCTGCATGACGCACAAGATTCGTCGCATTCTTCGAAAATATAAACGCAGCAAAAAATTTCGCCATCCACAAGATTGAAGAATAAGTTTTAGCAAGCAGGGCACGTGTAACGTATCACATCATGTGTTTTTTTTTCTCTCCTTCGAACGGGAATGAACAAGTATTCTATGCTCTTGTCATACCGAACATCTTGGTTATGGATGGTATAGGGGAAAAAATACTATTATTTGCATAAACTTTGGATCATTCGGAAAACTTTCGCTTCACACCGTAATAGTATTAATTTAAGAGTTTTCAACTGAATTTCAAAACTGTATTTCCATTTCGAACTTTGGCAAACATTAGTATAGACCTTTTTTTTTAAATCATAAACGTGCAAAATGTTAAAATCAACTGGCCATCGTAAATAGCAACAATTTCGAATATCTACTTTGGAAATGCAATGGTCGCTTTTAAAAATTGGTTTGACTTTAGGCTCGTGTTCAACTGTAAATTGTACTCGAAACCCATAGATATTCAGTTATTTAAATATTTCTTTTCATATGGCTTTTGCGTAATGAAATGATACCTCATAAAGACGTCAGATGTCGCTGTTAGCACCTGCTTTTGCTTTTAATAGTAAAAATATATATCATATATTAGTCCAACATTCATCGCTTTACACCAAAGCGTATCGCTTGAACATTTCTACCTGAGGTTCGTCAAGCACTAATGGCTAGTATCGTAAAAGCTATCGTGTTTTTCTCATTAAATTATTATTTATTTTAAAAAAATTGATTTTATTTTACCAATGCGGTTTTTGGCATATCAAAACCATTTCTTTGCTCAAAGGCATTAACCTATAAACAAATGATTTTGCCCACTTTGGACACATTTTTTATGGTTCGACTTTTTTTTTGTTCGATGATGACCCAATGCACTTTGAGCTTTATTTATACAATTGAATTTTCACTGTATCGACATAATGGAAGCAGCTTTGTTTGAGCTTATTTACAATAATTATTTGAATAACTTTTTGGAAGAAACATGAAAAAAAATTCCGCTTCTCTTTGACAAAAAAATAATTGTATTTAGTAAATTATTTAAAAAAAAAATATTACCTGATATTTTTTAATGCTATCCAATTGTTCGGGCGTTGCATCAACAATTTGAGCAATTTGATTCGTTTGCAGAACTGGATTTCGATCTGGGACTTGTGGTGCGGGCGCTCGGTTTACCATTCTACCATCCTTTTCCATGCGTAAATGATCACGCGGCGGTGGTACCGGTCGAATTGATCCATTAAGCTGTAAAATTCAATACCGCATTAATGAAATCCCTTTGATATATTTCACAAATGGAAATGAGTTAATTTATAGAATGAGATATTTTGCATTGGTAACTTGGAACATTTTTCATGTATACTGATTCATCTGTATGGTTTTTTGTTTGCCTTTTTTTCCCCATTTATTTACAACATTTCAATGAGCACAATTGTTGACTCTTTCGGCGTTTCGATTTTCTATGGATTTGCAGCTGAGTGAATGCGTTGAAAATATGCTGTCGGTGAATCGCGATTGAAATTGTGGTGTTGTGTTTGTGTATGCATTGAAAATGAATTATGTAAGTGTGTGATAATGTAAAAGTGACTGTGAGATGACTGTGTACAGCTTGGCATTGTCGAATGGGTGTATGTTTGTGTTTAAAGAATAGAACATAAAAAATATTTTTTGTACCTCCCCGAAAAAAAGGTAAATAAATAAAAAAAAAAAATCAAGTCACCTTTTTGCCAATTGAGGGAGTGTGAGAGCAAGAAAAAAAAGTATCCGCAGAATTTGTGAGTATGAAGCAAGAATACATTTTACATTTACCTTTTACACCTTCACACGAAATATTATTGCAGGGTCGGGGGAAAAAATATTCCATAAAAATGTACATACAGAGATAGAGAGAGATGCAGGTAACAGTTCCATAACCCATCGGAAATAATTTAAATCGATTTTATCTTTTTTCGATTTTTATCTTTTCTACCAATGACAAAGAGTGCCTGGAAGTGCCTTTTAACTTCGGTATTTTTCTTTTGATTTGTGCAAATGTGTTTGTTTTGCCCTAATCCTTGAGTTTTATTCCTCTTTGTCATTATTTGTGTTACTCTTTGGGTGTTTGAACGAGATTACAAAGTAATAAAAGCAAATTCAACCGTGAAAGCATGTAATTCCTCTGACGATTGGTGGAATTGATTGCAATGAGTTTTAAGAATTCCGTTAAAAAAAAAATGTTGGAAAAATGGTTATTGATCAGAATATAATTGATTGTGATGGCGAATCAGAATTCGTACCATTTCAAATTATCGTAAATGTAGTCGCATGTTTGCTTTGTGAGATGAAAGGAGCGCGCATACAAACACGCACACAATTCAAAGAGCGAATGCAAACAGATATCTACATGGAGCAGCGTGGCGTAAATCGAAAGTACATACGAAACATAAGCACCATCAAGGGAACAATCACCTAATTGAATAAACATGAATAAGCTTATTTGTTTAATTCATTAGCCATATTACTTTGTTTGACAACGGGAAACCATGTAACTATACGTGTTGTACATGCGTTGTACTGTGTACCACCGATTATTGTATTGCACTCCTGTCTGTTTCATATTGATCGGATTGTCCCTTGCTGATTTACTTTTTTTTGCCAAGAAGTAACGCTACACTTGTTTGTGGATCGTTTTCTAGTGATATAAATTCATTTCTACCACTGAAACTCAATGCAACCCAATCGTTTCCGTTTGAAAATGCGATTTTAAATGGTTCGGACGTGTTGAAACACATTTGATGTGGTTAGTCGTATCAAATGTGAATACAAAAGCGCCAGAGTAATAAAAAACATAACATTGATACAAAACTGAATGGAAAATGAAATGATAAACCAAAATATTCTCTTGAAAAAGCCAAACCAATTGTTAAACGAAAAAAAAAACAAACAATTACGAATAGAACAAAAACGAAATGAGAAATTAAAATTAAAATAACAAAAAAAAAATATACCTCGCTGTTTCGGTTTGGCGTTTGTGGTGTTGTAATGTTATTGATTGTCTGTGAATTTGTTGTGGATGTAATGATTGCGTCTTTTTCAGTTGTGGTCGACGTTGAATTTGTGGATGTGAGCGATTCTTTCGATTTTTGCAACGGATTCGACGTATTTTTTGGATAGCGTGGCGGCATTTTTGTTTGGCCAACAAAATTGTCTGGGACATCGACTGCCATCTCGCGATGTGGCCCCAAATCGTATTCGGGCGGCCCCAATTCACCACCGGACGATGAGCTGCGTGTGCTGAGCGAACCGCGCGATTTTGTGCGATAGCTCATCGAATCAAAACCGATCGACTCACATACCGAGCCCAACGATGACGGACACTTGCTCGACGATTTCTTATTATTGTACTCATTGCAACTGTCGAACGACGATGAGTTTTTCATGTGATGATTGTTATTTTGATGGAGATTCGTATTGATGATTGCATGATTGTTATTGACATGTGTGGAATTGAATGACGGTGGCTGTAAATCGAGTGATACACCGCCGTTTCCAATGGACGATGAGCCGGATTTGAGCGACGATGTTGTCGACGATGTGGACAACAACGGCTGTTTTTGTGAACCATTTGGCGTATAAATTACCTGTGTCGGTGGTCGCGGTGGTGGATATCTCGGTGGTGTCTTATTCCGTGCTATAAATGAATCCGGGACATCAACTGCCATCTCACGATGTGGACCTGTTCCCCAAACACACAAAATTAAACACGAATGAAGATAACAATAAGAAACAACGTGGAAATTGCTCAACTCATTTTATATTTCTTTTATTTTTATTCTAACTTGATATATTCTTTGTGCTGCTCAAGTGGAAGACACACACTCACACACACACACAGAGAGAGAGAGAGAGGCTTGTTGCATGCTTCTCACAATTGAAACGTATACGCAATTAATAGAAGATTTTGTGAAATTAGTGTCATGTCTAATTTGAGTCTTTGACATAAATTCGCGGAAAACTGTAAAGCAACGCTAGCGGTCTTCATTAGAAAGAAGCAAAATAATGCAAATGCATACACGAGTTCTGTTTGAAGAGCTGCTTCGTGCTTCGTTTACGCACGACGTCATAAAACATATTTTTATGTTTACATTTACATTTGTTCACTCTTTTCTACACTTTTCCTCCCGTTTTGTTCGCATTTTATATTTGTGCTGAAATTCATTTCGTTTATGAATCATTTTTGTGAATAGTCGCAAACAAGCTTTGGACTGTTGCAAAAAAAAAAAAACGGAAAAAATGCAATTCACGAAGAAGAATGTGGAAAAAATTGGTTCATGGAGCGCGTGTGTTGCAGCTATTTCTTTACATTACGACCACAAAATTCAGCCGTTTTGCACGTTCGACGAATTTTGTTATTGTTATGAAGATGAGGTTAGTTTTTGCATCGTTGCAAGAAACGACAATTAAATCTGGCCAGGAATTTAGTTTACTGAAATGACAGATTGCATTTTGAATAACGTTAAATGAATGGAACGTGCATTCTGCATAGCGAGTTCGTTTTTAATTCATTTTCCTCTTGTCGGTCGGAAAAAAACATTCGACATGTCTTCCAGTCACAAATCCATAAAAACTGCATTATTTTTACTGCAACATTTTTGCAAGGCCAGGCATTTGGCTTTTTATATCGTCAAGTTTTTAGTGTGGCAATTCTTCTTCATCATAGTTCCGTGGCCAATAATTATAATTATAAAGAAACATCTGAATCGCAAAAACGTCATCATTTCCACATGGCATTGGCTGTTGCGTTGCAACTCTTGAGCAGACTTTTGCTACTTTCGAAGTCAATTAGCAGAACAGGAAACCAAATGATACATACCATTTTCTTGATTCATTGGCATCATCGTTAGCATTTCTAAGTCGTGTGAATCTCTGTAGGTTCCGTCGGTAATCCGATAGTGTTCGATATTGTCTGATTTGATATAGTCATCAATTGAATCACTTCCGCCTAATACCACAATACTTGAGCCTGATCGGCGTCGTGGCCTGTGATGAGAGAAGAAGAGAGGAAAAGAAAATTCATGGTTAAAAAAAAGTTAAAAACAAAGTTAATTTCTTTAAAAACTCGAAAACTTCAAATCTACTGTATCAAATAAATCTCCGGAGGGTCGTAAATAAAGTTTATGCAAACAGAAGCGTTACTTTTTGTTGCAGTAAGCAGGTTTCGACAGTCTTTCGATTTCGAAGCCATTAATTTACTCTCGGTATAAAATTGTAATTTGCGTATGGTTTCGTTGAGGGGACATGATTGCCAAATATTTAAACACAAAATATTTCACAATGCTTCTCGTTTGCGCCAAGTCGAGCACGAAGCAGCAACAATGTGTTGGAATGCATTGGAAAAGTTTAAGCAAAGCCCATAAATGAACACTCAAAGTGCGTAAATGGAGATAAATGCATCATCATAATTACACTTCTTAGAGAATTTTCTTGAGTAATTTCAAGAAACATAAACTACTCCTTTCACAGCCAAGCGAACGAAAAACAGAAAGGGAGAGAGAGAGAGAGAGGGGGGGTTATGAGCGTTTGAAAATGCAAAAGTTTGGTGCTCTTCTTATTTGCATTATATGTCATACACGATCATTATCGTCGTAAACATTTAAATTATGTTCCAAAGTAATGAAACTATGCGTGTGAGTATGTCGTGTTCATGAAATGGCGATGACAAACGTCATATCTAATGTGGCACGATGATGAAAATGGCATCGAGCATGAACGAGAGATCCGTACGTGTCTGCCAAAACTTTCTCTATATTAATCCATTCATTTCGTCATTCGCATTCGCGTTCGCATTCTAGTTGAAATGTTTTACCGACATTTGTACATTTCATTTTATTTTATTTTAACATTGTCGACTCCTCCGGCTTTTTCTATTTTGATACTTGTCAAGCGGCCGCTTTGTTCTCTTCGCATGGCGAACATGTTTTTTTCGGGTGATATAGTAGAGGAAGAGAGCGAGAAACCGAAAGAAAGGGAGAACAGCGAGCCGTTATACAATGTAACCCACTTAAAATTAAAAGGATCTCCATTTATTTATTGAAGTATCAAAGACAGTGTTGTGCGATGGCAGCTGAATATTAACCGGAGCAGCAAGCAGGAATGGAGATTGTGGATAGGTACAGCAAAATTGGTACACACACATACACATAACGGAGACATACGTACACAAACAGGCGCCCATTCATACAATCTCGGATGCTTTCCCATATCAAGCTCATCCTGACACAAACAACGAGCACACACCAATTGGGAGCAAGGCATAATGCAATGTATAATCCATAAAGTGAAGACTATACAATAAAATATACTACATGAAGTGGCTGGCGAACTACTTTCCTCGTTGCGTTAGCGTGCGCATACGAGCGAGCATTTTCACATTTTCTGGAGAACGAAAGACTCACTAACATCCACCAGCGAAACGGTTTACATGCACGGGGACCGAGGGCGTTGGCAACAGCAGGTCGCAACAACAACAACAAAAATGAGGAAAAAAACAATAAGGCGAATTAAATGTGCCACGACTTGTGGAGCACACATACACACACACAAAGCGGGAGTCGAAAAAAGAAGAATTCAGCGAACAAAAAGTAGAACACAAGCATTTGATAATGCGTGGGATTTTTATATCGTGGTGGCAAATGCGAACGGTGCAATCAATTTTAAATCAGGTGCTATGACAATTCATCTCATTTTCAGTGTGCCACGTCACCATGCGAACGTAAATATTTGGAATTCAGTGCACGATTTCGTGTTCCTTCTCATTTAAATCTCGAAATTTAGTAAGTGCATTTTAAGTCGAACGAACAAGAAAAAAAAAAAAGAGAACGTGAAGCACAAGCACGAATAGGAGGACGAAATTATATTGCTTTCAGCATCCGATAAAAGCTGCGCAAATATAATTTAGAATGGCAAGGCGGCGAGCTAACAGCTGTAATAAAACATTTTCTAGAACAGCAGCATCGAGAATGGAACCGAGAAGACAGAAGAGAGAGAGAGATAGAGAGAAAAAAGAGAGCGACGTAATTGCACTAAATATTGTGCTAATTAAAATGCTTTTAAAATTCAAGAACTTCCAGGGTAATGCAGTAGCCCTGTATAAAACTGTAACTTCATTCTTTCGATCCATTGAAAACAGTTGCACTCGATGTGAGTGGAGAATTTTCGGTAACCAAGAACTGTCTCTTCTCTGTGATTTAACTGGCATTTCTGCATATTATTAATTTGGATTTATAGAAGAAAAAAAAGAGTCAAGTATTTTCCACTTTTTTTACATTATTCTCAAAAGTTTGAGCATGATATATTTGACGAAAGAGATATTGCGTTGGTACTTTTTTCTCATCCATTTGCCGTAGTGAAACGCGTTTAAAATGCAGCTCCTTTCGTCACTTTCTATTTTATCTGTTTTCGAAATGGTAGAACTTTTTTTTTGTATTCCATATTTTTGCAGTTTTTATGAGAATCCTTTGCACTGGACTTTCTGCCAGAGGCCTATGCATTCATCAGTTTTGATTACGTGCTCAAAAAGCCTTTGTGCATAAAACATTGCCTTCATGAATTTTAAATGAACGATTCTGCGAAATGTTTTTCTCATTTTTCTCTCTCACGCCCCCGTTTTACAATTGAAATTCTTTTTACTTGTCGTAAACAAGCTATTTCCATTTGGACATCTTTTGTGTAGTCTGTAAAAATGATGTAAGCCGACTTAAATACATTTTTACATTGGGTACAATTGACACGGCACGGGCAGCGTTGAGTGCACAAACAAAAAAAAAATGGAGTGTGCTCTGAGTTGAGACAAGTCGTCAAAGCGAAAAAGTAATCGCTGAACAAATGTGGCTACTGATCATTTATAGTGAGCGCTGTGACCTGGTAATCATAATCCAACTGCATTCATCATTGTGGCTACGATGACTCGCACCATCGATCATCATCTACAATTGTGGTTTGATTAATCTACCTATGTGATTTCATTTCAATATCAAAATGAAGTAGATTTTTCCGATTTCGTGGCGTTCATCTCCTTTTTGCGAGGAAAAAAAATGAAAGAGCAGTTTTATTGAATCATCCCTTACAAAACGAAAGATTGCTACTCACATTATCCACGTATCTTAGCATATTTGCTGCGTTTTTTCACATTGGTTAGCCTTGTTTTTTTTCATTTAACCTAAATACGAAGCGGCAGTCTATCCGAACTGGACTATGACATTCATTACACACCACGATGAGTCAAGGTTATTTCTGTTTGATAGCATTTGACTGAACGCTATTCTGTTGGCGGATCACAAAGGGAAACAACGGTAATTTTATTCCGTTTGCTTCTATTGAAATACGTAAATACGGCAATGAATAAACCGAGCGTATTTTTTCCCTAAAAGTAAATGCTTGTTCTTTTCTATTAGCAAATTAATTTCAATTGAAAATGCTCTTTTGTTTCGTAATTCTTGGAGTTTCTGATTTGCTTTGTGTTCATGTTGAATGAATGGATGAACAGCCGAACAAAATCTAAGAATCCCAAAACATAAACGATTTTTTCCATTATGTTTAGCAAATTTGCTTTGCTTTGATGAGTTCGTATCGACTTTGTGATTTGCTCTTGATGTTTTTTTTTTTTACTTCTTTTTCGATTCCGTTTTGAGCATAAGAACTACACTGCGAATAGAAAAAAAAAACGATAGACCGATTTATTGGATGATGGATTAGTGGAAATTTTCACATTCTTTTTTCCTGCTTCGTTTTACTTGTTGTTCGTTGAAAGATTAAATTTGATTATTTTTTAAAAAGAAATATCGATGGATACAAAAGATAAGAAAAAAAAAACGGAGCTTAACATTTTTCTTCAGAATGTTGGATAGAAATTGAATTTTGTAGCGTAATATTGTAGTTGAGTGCCGAGTTTCGTGCATAGAATCAATGTAAAAGGTGTGGATCAAGTGAATATTTAGAACGAAGTTTCGATAAAAATGAGCACAGGTAAATTATTGACAATTTGCCGGTTTGCATTGTTGGCCTGCAATATGCACAAACAAGCTCGATTATCCGTACGATGTTATTGCTTCGAAATATAGAACATAGCTCGTCAGTTAAGTAAAAATAAAAAACGTGCTCGCACATGAATACACACGCTATTGAATACAAAATCTAGTGCACATTTTATTGGCCGATATACCGAAAATTCTCCAATGGCATTTCACTCTATTTCACCTTTGCAAACTATAAACATTTGTATAACTTTTTTGGCACATTTTATCCGATCCGAGACGCAGTTCAACACGAAAACTTTTACGTAACCCGATTGCAACGGCCAACAAAATTCCATTTCATCAAGATAGTAGATTCACATGAGAAGCGTTCAGGTTATTGAGTGCTAACCTGGTATTAAGGGAATTTGAACAATAACAAAAAAGGAAAAAAAAGGGAGATGATCTGAATCGAAAATAGTCCAAACAAAACACAACATGGAAAGATCTTTCAAGTCATTTCTTCATGCAAACGATTTGGAAATTGATGCTATAGCTGTCTCGGCTACTTTACATTCACTTCAAACGAGGTTTTTGTCATTTATCTTTCGTTTGAACGGAGGAGCTAACGAGAGAATATCATAATAATGGTTCCCGTGTATTAAACAGGCCGTTTTGTGATTTAACGATATGATTCCATTGAATTGGTTTGTTACGACCAAGCGCAAGCACACAATAAAATGGAAACTTTGTATTTTTGTTTCAACAACTGACTGCCTACAACATAACAATTTGCTTTCTTGGCAATATTTCATTTGCTCGGAGCGATGGTGTTGATTTTTCGGGTGTTTTTTTTTATTCTTATTTTTCTTTCGTTTCCCAAGAACTCCAAAACTATCCCACACAAACCGCATTCTTCGATACAAGAACTAAGGAAAAACAAAAGTCACACAAAAATAAAAGAACCCAACAGATAACCATCTTTGTGTATATAAAACAAACAGAATGATTCCAAACTTTAATCCGAAA